TCGCTGGGGTTCCACTGGCGGTCTCGCATCGGCGCAGCAAGGCGCGTGCATGTGTTTTCGAGGCGGGATATGTTGAAATTCCTAGGAGGAGGTGTTTGCAAGATCTCATTGGGCGGGAGATCTGCGAACGGGAATAACAAACCCCGCTATAGAACAAGAGTCCCCCATTACGTGGATGGTGATCATGATGGTCGCATGCTGCGTGTGGAAACATCGCGCATGAGGGTAAATGATTGTTGTTGTTGTTGTTGTTGAATTCTCACTCCTGAAGAATATTTAGTTATTGTTGATCTCCCCCCCCCACCGGTGCATACTGATTTTTCTCAATCAAAGTGTGTTCCTCGACGCTCGCACCCGGTTATTTGACAGGGAAACTTGATGCTCAAATTATGCCCCTGGCCCCCGGGTTACAACAACAACAACAATAACGGCTCCCGATTGAGATTCCCTTACAATTGAGCCAGGACCCCCGTTCCCGCCCGAGACTTCCTCGCATTTTATTCAGGAGTCGCGCTCTCGCTTGGGACTTCCTTACAATTGATTCAGGAATTGTTCTCCCGGCGCTCTGGAGTCGCGCTCTCGCTGGAGACTTGCTTGCAATTTACCCACGTGTAGCCCCCTTTGCGTTGGAATTTCTTGCAATTTACTCAAGCGCCGCGTTCCCGACACCCAGGCACCCAGGAGTCGCGCTCACGCTTAGGACCCCCTCACAAATTACCTAGAAATCGGGATCTCGCTGCCCTTCGTGGCCCCGTTGCAGCCCTTCGTGGCCCCCTCGTTTTGTTTCGTGGCCCCGTCCCGTTGCAGCCCCGTTGCAGCCCTTCGTGGCCCCTTCGCTTTGTTTCGTGGCCCCGTTGCAGACCTTCGTGGCCCCGTTGCAGCCCTTCGTGGCCCCGTCGCTCCCGTTCGTGGCCCCGTTGCAGCCCTTCGTGGCCCCGTTGCAGCCCTTCGTGGCCCCCTAGACGTATGCCCTTTGTGGCCCCCGCTCGTTCGCGCCCGTGGTGGCCCCATATACATGCCCTTCGTTTCCTTGCTGTCGCCCTTCGTGGCCCCCTCGCTGCCCTTCGTGGCCCCATTGCTGCCCTCAGTGGCCCCGTCCTTGCCCTCCGCGGCCCAACATACGCATGCCCTTCGTGGCCCCCGCTCGTTCGCGCCCGTTGTGGCCCCATGTGCATGCCCTTCGTGGCCCTGCTGTCGCCGTTTGTGGCCCCTTCACTGTCCTACGTGGCCCAGTTGCTACCCGCAGTGGCCCCGTCGTTGCTTTCTGTGGCCCCGCAGTATCTGCCCTTCGTGGCCCCCGCTCGTTCGCGCTCTTCGTGGCCCCATACGCATTCCCTTCGTGTCCCCGCTGTCGCCCTTCGTGGCCTACTTCGTGTCCTTCGTGGCCCTGCTGTCGTTCTCTCTCGCTCTCGCTTTCGCTCGTCGTCGTCGCGTCGTCGTCGTCGTCGTCGTCGTCGTCGTCGGTCCCCCTGTCCGTCCCTCTTGGGGTCGGGTCGACGGTCCGCGGCCGCCCCGCCGATCAGCGCTGCCGCTGGCCAGGCCGACGGTCCGCGGCCGCCCCGCCGCTTGCCGGGGCCCGGCCTGCAGGGAAGAAAGGTATACCCCCCAAAAGGGGTTCGATCGAAGACGAAGAGGGCCGGTATCGAGGGTTTGGGAAATACGCGTTATTGGACACTCGAGCAGATAAGGGCGAACAGTCTTAAACTGATTGTTCTTGTTGTTGCTGCTGTTGTTGTTATTGCTGTTGCTGTTGTTGCTGTTAAATGTTAAGGACTAAACAGTGATTATTGTTGGACCTTTTAAGGGCGCCCTGGCGCTCTCGCCGAGGCGCCAGCTGCATTTTCATTAAAAATGAGGCTCACTCTCGAGCGGCTTGGGGGACCGCCAAAAACGCCCCCCCAACAACAACAGCGCTCCCGTTCGAGGTTTCCGCTTTTTTTGCTCATGACTGGTGCTCTTGCTCGCCGCTGAAAGCAGCCGTGTCAACACAACCAGCGCTCCCGCGCGAGATTTCCTCTCGTTATACCTTGGACAAGCGCTCCACTCTTTCTCTCATGGGCGCCGCCCCCCACCAACAACAACGGTCCCGCTCGAGAATTCGTCCTTTTTCTACTCAAGGCGGTGCTCTTGCTCGCCGCCGACAGCCCCCGCCCCGACAAAACCAGCGCTCCCGCCCGAGACTTCCTCCCGTTTTACGTTGGACTGGCGCCCTGTTCTCCTCCTCGTCCTCCTCCTCCTCGTCCTCCTCCTCCTCGTCCTCCTCCTCCTCGTCTCCTCTTCTCCTCCTTCTCCTCCTCCTCCTCCTCCTCCTCCTCCTCCTCCTCCTCTTCCTCCTCCTCCTCCTCCTCCTCCCTCCTCCCCCCCTCGTCCTCTTCCTCCCTCTTCCTACCTCCACCCCCTCCTCTTCCTCCCTCCTCCCTCCTCCCTCCTCCGTCCCTCTTTCCTCTGTCCTCCTCCCTCACCCCCTCTCCTCCCTCTCCTCCTCCTCCTCCTCGTCCTCCCTCCTCCTCCTTCTCCTTGTCCTCCTCCTCCTTTCCTTCCTCCTCCTCGTCTTCCTCCTCCTTCCTCCTTCCCCCTCGCTTTTCCTCCTTCTTTCTCCCTCCACCCCCTCCTCTTCTCCGTCCTCCCTCCTCCCTCTCCCGTCCCTCGTTCCTCCCTCCTCTTCCCTCCTCCTTTCCCTTCCCGTCCCCCTTGTCTCCTGCCTCCCTCCCCCCTCCCCCTTCCCCTTCCGTCCTCCCTCGCCGCTCCCGTTTGACACGTCTTCACCTTTCTACTCAAGACTGGGGCCCTCGTTTCGGCATCGCCTCTGGGGGGGGTCCAAGAGTCCCTGTTGAACCTTCGTTATGAAATAGCGCAGTTTTGGAGAGCGCAGATCACGTGGAGGAGGAGAAGAAGGAGGACAGATGACTCCCAGGGGCTCCGGGGACCTAGGGTCGAAGGGTTGACCTCAGGGATTCCTTGAGAGGGCGTGGGGGGGCAGGTGGAGCATGCGAGCATGGGGGCGACAGCGCGTGGGGGCGTGAACGTTCAGGGCCACGCGCTGAGGCCGCAGGACGGTGGCGCAACAGTTCGAACGAGGAGTAAGAACCACTTCGTCCTCGGAGGCACTGCTACTACAACTACTCCTGCTTCCCCCCTCCTCCTCCTCCTCCATCCTCCTCCTCCTCCTCCTCCATCCTCCTCCCCCTCCTCTCCCTCTTCCTCTCCCTCGTCTTGCCTCCCCTCGTCCTCTTCTTCCTCCTCCGAGATGCGGGGCTTGCGCAGGGCGATTGCGATGGCGATGTGCCGTCCGAGCTGTGGATGTCGATGTTCTTCGGGAAAAAAGGTAGTGGCAATACTTTCTTGGGCGGAAGATCCGAGCGAGGGGATATCGGGCCCCGCATGCCAGACAAAAACCACGATGGGGCGGGATATCCAGGTTGATGCATGTGACATGTGGATGCGTGGCGTATGATGGTACAATGATGTTCGCTGTTGTTGACGTTGTTGTCGTTGTTGTTGATGTCGTTGTCGTCGTTGTCGTTGCCGGTGTTATTGTTGTTGTCGTTGTTGTTGTTGGTGGTGTTGTTTGTTTGTTTGTTTGTTTGTTTGTTTGGTTGGTTGTTTGTTTGTTTGTTTGTTTGTTGTTGTTGTTGTTGTTGTTGTTGTTGTTGTTGTTGTGTTTGTTTGTTTGTTTGTTTGTTTGTTTGTTTGTTTGTTTGTTGTTGTTGTTGTTGTTCGTTGTCGTCGCCCCCCCGCGACCCGCCCGCGACCCACCCCGCGACCCACCCCGCGACCCACCCCGCGACCCTACCCGCGACCTGCCCGCCACCCACCACGCGACCCACCCGCGACCCACCCGCGACCCGCCCGCGACCCACCCCGCGACCCACCAGCGACCCACCCCGCGGCCCATCCGCGACCCACCCGCGGCCCACCTGCGACCCACTAGCGACCCACCCGCGAACCACCCCGCGACCCACCCTTGACCGATCCACATTGGTTTGGAGATAAAATCAGCGCTTGCGGCGGGTTCGTTGTATAATTCGTGAACCTGTGGCGCCTGCGGCGGGCTTCTCCAGAGTCTCGCAGAATGCCGACGCCCCCGCCGCCCTCCCACTTTCATCCGCATTTGCGAGGTGCTACGTAGATGCATATACGTGTATGTATACAAGCATGTGTGTGTAGATTCATGTATGTATCTATACACACTGCATACATACATATAATATGGCATGGTAAGGAGGCCGAACGGTTTTACGCCATCCTTGCGTGCGTGCCTAAAGTGGGTTACCGCGGAGAGGCTTGTTGTTGCTGTTTGTTGTTGTTGGTGTTTGTTGGTTGTTGTTGTGGCGGTCGTCCTCGCCCACGACCCACCCGCGACCCGCTCGCGGAAAGCCGCGACCCATTTGCGACCCACCCGCGACCCGACCGCGACAGTGTTATGACCCACGCGCATTGTTTTGACGGAGAGTCGGCGCCTCAGTCGGGCAACGTGCGTGATGTTTGAAAGTTTGCGCCTGTAGCGACCTTATGTCGAGGCGCGCAGACTGCCCATGACCTCGCCGCCTTCTCTCTATCCGCAACTATGTATATGTTTAGATGTACGTATGTGTATGTGCTCGCCCCTTTTCATGTGGCGTGTTGCGGGCCAGCGTGATTGCGTATGCAGGCACTTGCGGGAAACTCCGCCACCATGCCGTGGGCCAGGACGTTCGGGAGGGGGCGGTGCACGCGATGAGGCGTGATGATAGATGGGAGGGTAGCGCGGCCAATGTAGACGTCGGACCGGAACTCTACCAGACAGAATTTACGCATGCTCACACGCCCACACCGCCCACACCGTGTAGGCACGGTGGCAGGTTTGCGGTGGTACGGTCTGTGCTCGAAACGATACTCTCCTGTGGCGACGCATGCTCGAAAAGTTCGCGTGGATCGTCAGCGATGGTTGCAGTCTTCCTGACCGTCGCTCGATGAGGAACGAACGGCCGGAAGGAAGGGCCAACGCGCCGCGCTACAAGGCCCGCTTTTGCGGAGAAGTCGAAGGACTATTTCATCCTGCCCGAGCTCCCTGGCCCGTTCGAGGTGGACCCCAAGGAGGCCATTATCGTGGGTGACGCGGATGCCCCGAAGGCCTGTGGAGCGGGTAGTCAGGCCAGGTTGGATGAGGTCGGTGTCGAGACATGTGTTTCGCGCTCCAACCTTACATCCTCATTATGTCCAGACGCATGTGGTTGATTTTTGCGTCGCTCGCCAGTGTCCAATGTGTGCGTTTCGCATCAAGTTGGTCGTGTTGAGGCCCGCACACTTGCAAGTGATTGCGCCAGGCGTCCATTCTCGACGGCGCACGTCTCTTTCTTTAAGGCAGAGAAAAGCGGTTCGGATTCGCATAGCATTCCATTGCATTCGCGGTTTTCATTTGAAACGGGGCACACACAGTCAGTCTTTGGTCGGCGAAATCGCGTGTTAATGGCATACCTTCTCAGACTGTCGACGCAGACAGGTGAGTACATGTCTGCATGCACCTTGGAATCGATGCTTCTTTAGATGTGATGCGCAGTTGTGGCGATTGGCATCTCTCTCCGCAGTACGCTGTAGCAGAGACCGCCGTTGAATGCACACGTGCAGGTGCCTGCCAAGCATCGGGCATGGTACCCATGCAGGCGAATGCAGCCAAAAGGAGCATATACAGTCTATCTAGGCTTGTGCGTCTTGCTTCGATGAGTAAGGATACCTCCCGCAGGTCGTCCTCTAAACTCGTTGGTGTCCCTGCTTTGAACACCATCAGGGTGGCGGCGTGGGGATTCGCCACTTGTACGCTACGCGCATATGTATGTATTCACTTCTGACTGTTGGAGGGATAAGCTGCGCGTTCAATGAGGTAGTCGTAGTGTTGCCAGGCTCCAGTCACCACTCCAGTGGATCTTGTCGGCTGCAATTCGGGAGTAGAGGCAAACGGCATGCATCTATGTTATGTGTTGCAGAGGGTGGTCGAGATAGATTATCCCGTGCGTTTCTCTGGCGCGCTCCATGACGACAATTGAGTTGTCGGAATTTGACGGGACTGCGCCTCTTTTCATTCCGCTTACTCTTGCAGAGTTGTGCATCCTTTTCTCCCATTCGGCCCCTTCCTCACTGTGCTACGATCGTACCGAAGTATCAGATCGAGGTAGGTTCGGGTAGGGTCTCCCAATGTTCTTCGCCGCCTTGATTGGATATCCTCGTGCATCCTGGGGAGGGCACGCTTGGATGTTCTGTGTTTTGGCCGGCGGAGAGTCTCATTCTCTTGCAGGATGGCATTAACCCCAGGAAGCATTTAAGAACCCCCCCCCTCCGGCAAATCCATAAACCTTCCGCATCATCATCCATATCATCCATATCATCATCATCATCATCATCATCATCATCATCATCATCATCATCATCATCATCATCATCATCATCATCATCATCATCGTGTCCGGGTGCTACAGCTATCGTTCGGTTATTTTTGCCCTTCAGAGTATCGAATAAGAAATGCGGTGCTACGATATCGCCGGGGGGGTTCTTAAATGCTTCCTGGGGTTATGACCTAGGTTCTAGGTCTGGCCGTACTCCATCTTGCACCCAGACACCACCCATCATTGCTCCCCAGGCGTTGTGGCTTCGGTCTGTCCCTTCTCTCTTTGACGTGACCTCTCCGCCTCTAGCCTGTGATCATTCTGCACCTCCTTCACATCCCTTAGCATCCGCGTTTCCCACTCTCCATCTCCCTCGCTCTCTACGCATACAACCTCACATTTCAACCTGCCCAAGTATGTGCACGACTTTGTGACCCTGCTATTGCTTATCTCCCGCTGCATCCATGCCTCATTGGTCCGTTCCCCCCCCTCCAGCCCCTTCCATCCCTTCCTCTCCCGCCATGATTCCCTCGCCCCCTCCAGTATCGTCCTCCCCCATTTACACAATGTATTGCTCTGCCTCTCTTTCTGTCTCTCAGTTTATATCACTATATTTGTCTCCCTGCGTGTTGGACGTATTTGCGTAGGCATGTGTATGCTCTCTATCTTTCTGCGTGCTGAATCTGTATACACAAGCATATCGCATATGTATGTATATGTGTATATGTAGGTACACACGCGTAGGGAGAAAGAGAGAGAGAGAGAGAGCGACAACACACAAGGAATTGCGCTACCGAGGGACCCCAGTTACTTGTATATGTCTGGCGTGATGATAGCTGAAGTGAGACATGCGAAACTGATGCTGGTGGCCGTTGCCCCGCCGATCCTGTTGGTGACGCCGGACAAGCCTTGGAAATGACGGTGACAAGGATGATGGCAATGATGATGACGATGGTGATGGTGAATGAACATGGTGAATTTTGCGCGCGCAAGAATTTGACGAGCGCAGGGGCCACCCCCTGCGCACCCCCTGTGGTGTGGAGAAAGTGCCAAGCCTGCCGCACCCCGCAACCCTGGGACGGATAAGGATCACGAAGAGGGGCCATCCCTCACGCACCCCTGCGGCGTGGAGAAAGTTCCACGCCTGCAACGCCCCGCGACCCTGGGACGGAACGACACCGCGGTGAGGGACCACCCCTCTACGCACCACCTGTGATGTGGAGCAGGTGCCGCGCCCGCCACGCCCCGCGACCTTGAGACGGACAGAAGCGACGGAGGGGGACCACCTCCTGCGCACCCCCTGTGGTGTGGAGGCGCCCTGCGACCTTGGGCCAGCCAGAGACTGCGGTGAGGGACCACCCCTTGCGCACACCCTGTGGTGTGGAGAAACTGCCACGCCTGCCACGCCGTGCGACCATGGGACGGATAGAAACCGCTGTGAGCGACCACTGCCTGCGCACACCATGTGGTGTGGAGCAACGGCAACGCCTGGCGACCTTGGGACGGATCGGGGCCGCTGTGAGGGACCACCCCCTACGCACCCCCTGTGGTGTGGAGAAAACGGATAGAGACGACGGAGGGGGGCCACACCGTACGCACCCCCTGCAGTGAGGAGAAAGCGCCGCGCATGCCACGCCCCGCGGTGGGGAACCACACCCTACGCACCCCCTGCGGCGCGGAGGAAGTTCCACGCCTGTCACGCCCCGCGACCCTGGGACGGAACGGCACCGCGGTGAGGGACACCCCCCTACGCACCACCTGTGGTCTGGAGCAGGTGCCGCGCCCGCGACGCCCCGCGACCTTGGGACCGACAGAGGCGACGGAGGGGGGCCACCCCCTGCGCACCCCCTGTGGTGTGGAGAAGGTGCAACGCTTGGCACTTCCCGCGACCTTGGGACGGATCGAGACCGCGGTGCGGGACCCACCCCCCTCTATGCGCACCCCCCGCGGCGTGGAGAAAGCGTGGCCACGCCCCGCGACCCTGGGACGGATAGAGACCGCGGTGAGGGACCACCCATTGCGCACCCCGTGCGGTCTGGAGAAAGTGCCACACCTGTGACGCCCCGCGGCCCTGGGACGGGTAGAAACAGCGGTGGGGAACAGTCCATTGCGCACCCTTGTGGTGTGGAAAGGAGTGCCACGCCTGCCACGCCCCGCGACCTTGGGACGGGCAGATACCGCGGTGTGGGACCACCCCCATGCGCACCCCCGTGGCGTGGAGAAACCGCCACGCCTACCACATCCCGCGACTTTGGGACGGATAGGGGCCGCGGTGAGGGACCACCCCTTGTTGCGCACACCCCGTAGCGTCGAGAAAGAGAATGCCACGCTTGCCACGCCCCGCGACCCTGGGACGGATAGAAGCCGCGGTGGGGGACCACCCTTTGTGCACCCCCTGCGGTGTAGAGAAGTGCCACGCTTGCCGCGCTCTCCGACCCTGGGCGGCTAGAAACTGCGGTGAGGGACCACCTTTGACGCACCCCCTGTGGCATAGAGAAAATGCAACGCCTGCCGCGCCCCGCGACCATGGGACTGATAAAGACCGCGGTGGGAGACCCCCCTCCCTTGCGCACCCCCTGGGCGCCGAGAAAGTGCCACGCCTGCCGCGTTCCCCGACCGTGGCACGCAGAGAGGCCGCTCTGAGAGACCACCAAGTGCGCACCCCGTCTGGTGTCGAGAAAGTGCCACGCTTGCCACGCCCTTCGACCCTACACGCCAGGCGTGCACTTGCGTTGCATGGTGTGTATGCGAGTGTGTGCGTGCGGGGGGGCTGTCTGCACACGCGCGTCTCATGCGCATGCCGTGCATGGGTTGCGCGTGGGTAGGGGGGGAGGAGGATGGGAGGAGGGATGCGCGGGTTCGGCGCGTCAAGGAAAAACACCACAATCCCACTGAGGATGCGAGGAAAGCGCACATGATACATATACATGTATGTCTCAACCGGTTTAGACCAACGCACGAAGTCAATGTATTAGTTGTCCTACAACAATACCCACCACATTATCAATGTAATTGAACGCAGCCAATTGACTAAATAAATCAAATTCATGTGATCAGCGCTGTGTCAGGCGTTGAGCGCAGCACCATTAATGTAATTAGTTTAGGAATTCCGGGTGTGCTAATTCAATTAACTAAATAAACATAGCAAGCACATTCTTTCAATACTTCAATTCAATTAGCTTAACCACTTTGATTCATTTAATGAATTCCAGCGGTGGCCCTGCGAGCACGCGTCAAGCGTTGGGGCTCTGGCCAGGGAGAGCGCGCAATTGACACATTGAATTAATTCAAGCGGCTGATTAAACGTCACTACGTAATTAAATTAATGTCAGCGCTCTCCTGCGGGAGGCGTTGATCGCAGCATCATTGGTGCAATTCGTTTCTGTATGACTTGTATACGACTTAAGGGAACGAAATTAATCAAACGAGCTCAATTTACTGCTCATGTCAGCGGTGACCCTGCGAGGCCCGCGTCAAGCGCTGGGGCTCTGACCAGGGGGAGGGCCAACTCAATTAAAAGAGGTTTATACATGCATAAACCGAATTAAATTAATTCAGTTGCTTGAGTAAATTAGTTAATTAACGGGATCTCCAGGGTGTCTTTGATTAAATGAGTTAATTATGTTTTCAGCGTCGTTCGGACCAACGTCCTGAAACTTTTGAATTCTGACACTTTGGCAGGTTTGAACCCTTTTGACATTGCAGAACATGTTGAAACGAATGAAGCCTGAGAAATGTTTGGTGCGGCTGAAACTGAACCATGCGCAACCAGGAAATTTCTGAACAGTCTGGCTCTTGTGAAATGCTTGGCTATATCTATAGATACACATATATATATACATGGTATAATATGCAGGGTTCGGCGTCATTCGGGTCAGAACCCTAATTTCGAAGTGCAGATGGTTTTGAAACTTTTGAAACTTTTTTGATTTCGGCTGCGTTGATGCTCCGCGCGCTCGCGCCAGGCCGTCCAGCGACAGTTCGCCAAGCAAACATCGAACGGATTAGACGCACGAGGAGAAATTTGCAACCGAGACGGGAGTCCAGGAAGGGGGGGAGACATGCTGTTAAACATAGCATTCGGGCCCAATGTTAGACCCCCCCTGTTTACTGAAAGAATGGGGTGGGGTGGGGTGGGGGGGAGGTATAAAGATCATGTGGAACGCTGATGTCTTAGCTCCCGTAAGGGGCAATCAAACGAATGCCACATATCAGGTGGATAGCGGGGCAGAGAACAGCAATGGTGGAACCGAACAGAGGCGCCGCGCTAGGCCGTCCAGTGCCTCGTGCCTCGCCCCTTCCCGTGTTTGTGTCGTTGGCTGTTTTCTTTCTGTTGCCCTTCTTCGCCTCCTTGAGCCAACGAGGCGAAGGATGCCAAGGCCAAGGTGGTGAAGTTGTTGGAGGACCAACTTCGCGAAAGTCGTGCCCTGCTTCTTCTTGTTCCCTGCGCTTCTGCTTGTGTTTCTGCCGCCAGTGTTCTTCTGATTCCCTGGTGGACGTAGCAACGTAGCGAGGAGAGAGCGAGAAGGGAGGAGGATGAGGACGAGGACACTCGGGTGGCAGGCAGCGGCGGCGGTGGAGGAGGAGGAGGATGAGGAAACCGAGGAGGTGTAGAAGGTTCAGGCCTGCTCGCTGGAACAATCCCTGCTGTGGCTCCTGGAGGTATTTTCTGCGACGCCTTTGGTGGGGGAGAGCTTCTGAGAGAACCCTTGCGAGTGACTGCAGCTGCCGGCAGCCTTCCAGTTGGCAGCTCAGTCGAAGTCCTTCGCAGGCCGCATTCGTCGAGCTGGTCGGGTGACGCACATGGGTCGATGCGAATTCCTCGTCCTGCTCCTCCTCTCCTCTTCTCCCTCATCCTTCCCCTTCTAACCCAGCAGTGTTGCCTTCTTCCACACTCGCCATTAGGGACGCACCGCAATCACTGGACCCAGTGCGACAGTAGACCGTTTTCAGGCGTCCTCCGCCCGCAAGGCACGAGGACGGATTGCCCCGGCCTGGCTCCTCGCCCGAGCAGATCCAACTCTGGCACGAGCGTTAAGCAAGTGACAAGCAGGTTCAAGCGACCCATCGGCCGTAGAAAGCGGCTTGGACTCCCAGGTCCCGATCTGCTCCAGGCGCCTTCCAATTTCGAGGGTCGAGTGGTTGCCCTGCTGCCCTCACCTTTGGGGGGCGGGAGGATACCCAATCTAATTTCAGCTCCTTCCTAATGATTTGTTCTACCCACCTCTTCGGCCGACGGGTGCTCTTGTTGCACTTGCTCAATGACTGAGCCGATTCGACACAAAAGTCGATACGATTGTCGACACTGCAACCGGCACGACATCTGGCTTCTTGCAAGACTGCGCCCAATTGTCAACATTGCACAGAAGCCTCTCTGACAACCGCAGCATGAGCACGCGGTGTCCGCGTATCGAGTCCTCAAGCTGATTCCGTACCGTTCTTCGTCCTTCCTGGCAACGCCGAAAGAGGTTGCGGTGGGGTGCGAGCGACAGGTGTGTTTCGGTGGCAAATCATGGGAGCCTGGTAGACCCTTTTAATTCCGTCTTTAGCGTCGACTGGCTAGCATTTGGGAGCGGATGGGTCAGCGCCGATTTAGCGTCGACCAGCGTCGATTGGCGTCGACTTGGCGTCGATTAGCGTCGACTAGCCTCGATTGGCGTCGATTCGCAAGAGCCGACAAGATGGTATGGGAGGCGCCCATGAGTTGCCACCGAAATGTGTGTTTGCGTGTGTGTATACAGTGTGCCCTGGAGGGCAAGGACAAGGCCCCCGCCCTGGGCCCTTTGGGGGGGCCGGGCGGCTTCTTGGGGGCGCGCCTGCGGGATTTTTTGGGGGGGAGGGGCTGCGGGAGCCCCTCGGATGCCTCCAAGGCAGCCAAGCTGGCCCCAACTTGGCGACCGTCTCCTTATTCATTGTTTTGCCGATCGGCGCGGGCCTTCGCACCCCCACCCCCCTTGAGTTGATCTTTGCTGCCTCTAGCGCCTGTTTCAAGCAGGTGGAGTCTCCCCCACAGGAAGCACTGCTGCAAACAGTCGCACCAAGCAGAGGTCAGGAGCCAGACCCCCCTTCTCCCCCCCTTCCGCTCAATGTCGGAACGCCCAATCAGAAAACGGTCGCTGGCCAAGTACTGCTCCAAAACCTTTTGAGGAGACCCATCAAAATCCCGGACAGGCCCCCAGGGCGGCGCCCCACAGGCGCCTCAAGAGCACAAGCCAGTTTGTTGTTCGTGTTGCATGCGTCGACGCAAGCATTGCACCGCGTGCCCAGAGCGCCCACAGAGGCCAAGGAGGCATCCGAGAACGCCCCAAGACGACCTCAGAGGGCGTCGCACAAGTTCTCCAGGTCGCTCAAGAGCGCCCCGAAAGTCCAGCAAGGCACCAAGAAGTTTCAAGACAGCCCCGAAGGCCCCCCAGGCGCCTTCAAGAGGGCCGGCCAACGTAACCAAAACATGGGCCATACAGGCCACGATGGCTCCGCCAGAGGCCCCGCAAGGACCCCATGAGGACGCTCCAGGGGCACCTGACAGGCAACATTGATTGACTTCCTGAGGGGTTTCAGCTTCCCCCCCCTTTCGGCCTGCATAGAGTCGAAAGTGTTGCCATCCTCCGCCGCCCTGATCCACAGGAAGCGGAAGGTGTCCTCGCCAAGCTTGATGAGGACGCCCAAGCGGACGTCAGCTACGCAGTCCAAGATTTTGGCGCTGCGCCCCCGTGTGTGAGGGAGGAAGGGGGGGAAAGAGAGGGAGACAGAGAGAGAGGGAGGTAGCACAGAATGGGGCAATCGAACTTCACTTGCCCCTTAGTTCGGTTGTGCCTTCTCTGCTTCCTGTGGCAAGTTCTTTGAATCGCATGGCAGTAGAGGATGCGCAGTGTGGAGTTCAGTTGCTTATAGCAAACAAGTGGCGGGTGCAACCGAACGGGTTGGGATGGCGTGGAAACGACGTATCCAAGTGCAGTAAGTATGTATGTGTGTGGTGCGTCCCCCTTGGCCAGGATGCAACAACGATGCTGCAGACACCCTCTTGTCGCAAGTCCCTTCTTCGTAAGCTCCAACGAGCATTTCTTCTCACGGTAGGAAGCGCTCGCTTGAAAGACGAACGTTATATGGATTTGCCGTTCAGGCGAGAGTTGCGTTTCAATATGGGCTTGTCTTGCAGCCATGCGGAGAGGTATGAACAGAACATTCGAGAAGTTGACCAGCAAGAGTCCCCCGTTTGAGAAGGAACCGCTCTCCATTGCAATTGTTGTCTCAGTTTGCTTCCTGATTAAACGTGCCGGCGATCCTTGGAGCGAGAGCCCCTCTTTGAAAATAATGCGCCCTCCATCCGTACAGGTGCTACCACGATCTAGAATTTCTGACCATAACGTTCAAGAAGGCCTGAATCGATAGCCCAATATTGAAAAGAAGCCGCTGTCCGTCCTTGCACAGCTCATGGGAACTTCAAAAAGAATGTGTGCGGAGCTACGCCGAGAGCCACTCTGAACAATTGATTGCCCTCGGTCCTGATACTCATAGGTACTGGAGACGTGTAAGACGAATGCGCGCGGCGCGCATGCGCGGGAGCCACATTTTGAACATGCCGCCATCCCCCCTTCAATTTTGAAAACTTACAGAGCGAATGTGCGCGGTGCGAAGGGGAAATAAATGCACTGTCAACAAAACGGTTTCCATCCGCGTAACCGATTTAGGTTTCAAACTTCAGGGCCTTCAGCGGCGAGGCGGTCTCAGGCGAACCTCCCAGTCCGGTCTAGTAACTGGTCCGGTGGTCCGACGAGGAGGAGTAAGAGGGGCGGGGAGAGGGGAGAGGCCAGCCGGGTGCGCTCGCGCCACATCCGGCATCCTGCGCCCAGCTCGTCCCTTGACAGTTGATTGATTTGTCGTGTGTCGAACAAGACCTTGATGCCCGAATGGCACGTGCAACATCCGACTTATCGTTTGAGGGGGGGAGGGAGGAGGGGGATTGCAGAGAAGACGGAGGAGGAATTTGAGGAGGAGGAGGAGCAGGAGCAGAAAGATCAGGAGCGGGAGCAGGTGGAGCATGAAGAGCAGTGGGAGGCTGAGGAGGGGACAGAAGGAGGGCCGATCCAGAATGTGACCCGCACTGTGGCGATACCGCCATTCTGAACGACGGGAGCGAAGCACCGATCCTCAAATGTTGCCCTGGCTACGGCGGAAGCACCCTTCTGAAGGACCGTGTATACTATATGCTGAAGGAGGAACATTATGTGTTCCTCCTCTATGCTCAGCACAGTGGAGGAATTCTTTCGGGCACGCCCTTATTAGAAACATGTGCAGTGGGCTGCATGAAATACACTTTGCAGGTGAGAAAGAGTTCCCCCCCAAGCGAGGTACGATCGTAGACGAAGAGGGCGGGTATCGAGGGTTTGGGATATACGTGTTGAATGGCACGCGACCAGATCAGAGCGAACAGTCTAAAATTTATGGCTGTTTTTGTTGTTAGCGGCCAAATTGTTCTATTCGGTGCCCGGGCCAAGGCAAAAGGACAGCGATGATAACGAGCAGGACGACGAAGCCCCTGAGATCCGAGGTTGCGAACAAATCTGCAACGCCGCGCAAAATCACGACTGGAGCCCCAGAGACCCCACCTGTCTGCTGCATGCTTCGAGCCGGATCCGGCGCCCGAGACGAGGCGAGAACATTTGATGTGAACAAAAGTGCAACGCCCAGATCTCAGGCGACGAAAGGGGGGGACGACGACGACGACGGCATCGACGACGACGGGCGGCGACGACGACGATGCTGCCGACCGGAACAACGACCTCGCACGCTAAGGGGGCGCGCTGGAGCCGAGCGCGCGGGGTCGGCTTGCGAGGCAGGCTTGGAAGGCGGCGCCGCCCCCCAGTGGTGTTCGTCGATTTGGCCCTCCGTGGGGCCGTTTTCGGCCTTGCGCTGCCCTGGAACGGCAATGCTCGCAGGCCTAGAGGTTGACTCCAACACCAATGTCGGCGGTGTTCCTCCACCGAGGGAAGAAGATCCCGATCTCGGTGATGGTGGTAATGTTCTGGCTTCCAAGGTGACCGAAATATTACCACCAACACCGAAATCTAGGATCATCTCCCCCCCTGTGAAGGCAGCCCCCTGCCTTGGTGTTGGTGCCCATTTTTGGGAGTCATCGATCTGTTTGTGTCCGTCGCCTTCTGGGTTTTTCGTCATCTTCGGTCTCCGGAGGCCGCCGGTCCCGGGCCCCCGGGACCGTCAGGAACCTACCAGGGATGAAAGGTTTCCCCCAGGGAGATTCCCTGGACGATTCTTCGGCACGGTCTGCAAAAGCTGCATTTCCAAGGGCGCGTGGGACCATCGAACACAAAGTCAGGGTTGAAGCCTTCGTACGGGGACGCGGCCGGGACCTCTGTCGGAGGTGGACAGAAATCCTACCCTGACACGTCGATGAGCGAATTGGCCGTTCTCGGTTCGCGAGAGGGCGGCGCGGCCGTCATTTTGGCGGTTCCAGGTCCGTCGGTTTCTGCCCTGGGCCGTCTTCGCTCAAAGGAGGTTTACTAAAGGGAGGTCTGTCCACCGCCGACTCTGGTGCCACGGGTGGGCAACAAATCAGGTCGGCGGATGTCAGGAGTGGGCGCCGCAGGCCACAAGCGAGCAGGCACGCGCGAAGCCCACGGGGAGGCTCACGGGAAGGGCGCGGCAGGGATGTCGCCCTGGGGCAGCCGTGTTGGGCCCACCGAGGCGTCAAGAGTGGCGGCGCCGTTGATCGGTAGTAAATCGTGGGAGCCTGGCATACCCTCTCGAGTCCGTCTTTGGCGTCGAATCGACTAGCGTCGATTAGCCCCTGGGGGTCGATGAGGCAGCGCCGATCTAGCGTCGATTGGCGTCGGTTTAGCGCCGGCTATAGCGCCGATTTGACGTCGACCGGCGTCGGTTCGCAAGAGCCGACAAGACGGCATGGGAGGCTCCCAGGAGTTGTCACTGAGAGCTTCAAGCTCAGAGGCAGTGCCTTCAGGGGCAACGCAAGGGTGGGTGAACGCATCGACCCCCCCCCATTGCCCAGCCAGCGCCGACGTGGGGTCCGAGATGGTCGCACGGCCCACCCCGCCGAGGAGCGTGCAGAGCTTCGCTGCCCGGGGGCCCATCGGCAGTCTGGCGGCAACGTGTCGCCGAGTCCAGGTCGACGTCTCCCCCCACCCCTGGAGCTGTTCCCCCATTCGCAGCCGGGCCGCTGAAGAGGGAACTCGTTTCGTTGGGGAGCGGCGCAGTGTTCCTCCATTGTGTTACAGGTTGTCTGAGGTGGTCCTTAGGCTTTCCATGGGAGGTCGAAGCTTTACTCATGGGAAAAAGAAGGGGCCTCGTTCCTCTTTTAGGGCTCCTGATGACAGCGTGTCGACTGTAACGTTGCCCCTGATGATGCTCGGGCCACACCTCCGGCCTCCGTCGGCCGTTTTGGGGACGAGCCGGGCACCCCATCGAAGTGTCCTTGCCGACGCGCAGTTGCTGGAAAGCATCCCGAGCCAGAGCCGGGAGCAGCGCATGACATGAACATACTGTACGCGTTCGGATGTCCAGGCTGATTTCCGTGGCGGGCGCTTTGTGGCCGCACCGCTCGGGAAACGGTATACCACAATATGGTTCTACGATGTTCGGGTCGGACGCACGCCTCCAAGGCGGACATACCGTACTAGTGTGTCCTTGCGCGTCCCATGGTCAGAATGAGGGGGCCGAACGGTCATTCATTGTTCCTGGGTGCGTGGCTGAAGTGGGGACCCGTGGTGAGGGTTATGTGTGTTGCGTTGTCGTTGCTGTTGCTGCTGCTGTTGCTGCTGCTGCTGCTGCTGTTGTTGTTGTTGCTGTTGTTGTTGTTGTTGTTGTTGTTGTTGTTGTTGTTGTTGTTGTCGACCCATCCCGATCCACCCCGCGACCCACCCCGCGACCCACCCGCGACCCGCCCGCGACCCACCCCGCGACCCACCCGCGACCCACCCCGCGACCCCATCCGCGACCCGCCTGCGACCCACCCGCGACCCAACCGCGACCCACCTGCGACCCACCCCGCGACCTACCCGCGACCCACCCCCGACCCACCCGCGACCAACAGCGACCCACCCGCGACCCAGCCGCGACCCATTTGCGACCCATTTACGACCCACCCGCGACCTACCCGCAGCGGTTTAACCAAAAAATCGGCGTCTGCGGCTCGTCGCATGATTTGTTAAACTTTGGCGCCTGCGGCGGGCTTCTCCAGAGTCTCGCAGACTGCCGACGTCCCCACCGGCCCTTCATTCTTGTTCGCATCTGCGGGGGGATACGTACATATACAATTCTGTTCGAGCTGCGTGCGAGGAGGAGCGGATACAGCAGGATCCGCGCCTCGGCTCTCGCCCAGGCTGTCGCGCCGCACTCGGCCGAGACTTGCATGTTAAGCATACGGGCAAGGCGCTGGGATACGAAGCGCCATGGATCCAGAAGGGGCTCGCGGTTCCTTAGGTCATTCCGAGGCTGTTGCTATAGCCGGCGGCGGGCCAGGGGGTGAAGTAAGAAGGAGAAGGCCTGTCCAGAAGGCGGCCGGGCTTCGCCGAAGGCCCCCGGCGTTCTGAGAGGTGCCCAGTGTCCTCTTGGGAATACTAAGACAACTTCTCAGAAGGCGGGGGGACTTCTGGGCCTTCTGAGAAGGCTCGCCCCTTCTCACTTCCCCCCCCCGGGCTCGCCGCTGATACAGCTCTCTCCGTTCACCCAGGCTTTCCTGGTGCCGAAAAAGGGTTTCCGTTCCTTCTTTGGCGTTCCTTATGGCAGCAGCTTGACTGTAGATTTCCGAAGATCCGTGAGGACATCTCGGATCGGCGCTGGGCTCCCCTTCCTCCCGCACCGCCCCTGGCTCGCCCCGCACGCCAGGGACACGCTGGGCTCCGAACGATCATGTTATGCACAGTGCGGTCTCTCTGGTTCTTCCTCTCTCTTTCCATCCTTGCTACCCGCCTCCTGGCCCTCCCTTCCTCCCCCTCTCCATCCTCCTTCCATCCCGTCCTCCCTCTCTTCCTCCTCCTCCTCCTCCTCCTCCTCCTCCTCCTCCTCCTCCTCCTCCTCCTCCTCCTTCTGCTCCGACAACACGTATGTTGCAACGGACAGCGAAGCGCAGTCACAACTGGAGGATGCTCACGTGCACCGTACAAGCAGAAACGTATTCACCGTCGACGGAACAGGTTTGCCGGGCGCCGGCTCGCCCGCGCAGCTCTGTCTCGGGCCGCTCTCTGGGCACGCGCCGCCCTCGCCGCGCCACGCCTCGCCTCGTGCTCTTTTGGTGCGGCAGCCGGCGCCGGCCTCTCCTCTCGCTGAGGGCCGCACTCCCGCCGCCGCCGAGACGGCGGTCATGCGTGGCAGCGTGGCCAGCGCCACCTGGTCCGCGTCTGCAAATCCACGGGGTGCCCGTGTCGGCCAGCAGTGTGGCAGCAGGATCAAGAGGATCTGCTGGGGTGCGGGGGATGGTGAAGAGCAGGTGGAGGCAGAAAGGGAACCATTCGGGAACGACAAGAGGCATACGAGGAGGGGGTGAATGACGAGGGTGAGGAGCAGTTGGACGGACAGGGGAAGGGACGACGAGGAGGAGAAGGAGGAGAAGAAGTTGGAAGCGCAGGGGGAGAAGGATGAGAGAATATCGTGAGAGGCAGAAGAAGGAGCAGGACGAGAGGAAGGAGGAGGAGGAGGAGGAGGAGGAGGAGGAGGAGGAGGAGGAGGAGGAGGAGAAGGACGACGACGATGACGACAACGCCTTCATCCTTCGACTGCTTTTCCATCTGCCTCCGGCGATCTTCGGCAGCCTTCGACGCTAGTCGACGCACCCCCCTCCCAACAGAGAAGCCCAAGGAGGCGCCCAGGAAAAGGACGCCACGCGAGGGGCGCCACCTCGGCGCGACCCCTCTCCAGTGCCCCCGGCCGCCAGCTGGAGGAGGGGATGCGGAAGCGCCGGGCGGCGGGAGGAGGAGGAGGAGGAGGCGGAGGAGGCGAGGAGGAGGCGGAGGAGGAATGCGGAGGAGGAAGAGGAGGCGTAGCAGGAGGCGGAGGAGGAGGAGGAGGAGCAGGAAGAGGAGGAGGAGGAGGAGGAGGAGGAGGAGGAGGAGGAGGAGGAGGAGGGGGAACGCGGCCGAGGCATCGCGGACCTGCGCCAGGCGACGAACACCATCAACAACCTAATGGACGAGGCCACCGCGGCGGGCACGCAGGCCAGCTGCTCGCCCCGAGCCTCCCCTCCGGGATCGCTGCTGGCGTTCCTCCCCCCTCCCCCCTCGCCGACCCCCTCGTCCTCTCCGTTCCCCCTCCCTATCCCTTCCACCCTCCACCCTCCCCCTGCCTCGCCCTCTCGCCCGCCCCCTCTCACTCTTCCTCAGCAGCTCCCTATGTCCCTGCATATCCCTTGTCCTCTCTGTCCCCGTCTCTGCCTTTGCCCCCTGTCTGTGTCCATGTCTTCATCTCTACCGCCCTCTCCGCCTCCCCCTCCTTTCTCCATCCCCACCCTCCCCCTTACCCCTCCTCGCTCGTTGTTGTGTAATATTATTTTTCTCTCTCTCTCTCTCTTTCTCTCTCTCTCTCTCTCTCTCTTCTCTCTCTCTCTCTTTATCTCCCCCTCTCCCTCTCTTCTCCCCTCCCTTTCAGTGTAAGACAGTATGCGGGCCTAAGTGCTGCTTTGTGTTTGTTGGGTTGGGCCGCCTTCGATCAGTCCCCCCACGCCCAGCGGGGTGATCTAATCCCTCCTCCGCGCTGCGCTGTGACCGGGCAACATTCATTCTCTCTCTCTCTCTCTCTCTTTTGTGCGCGTCTTTCTTTCTCTTCCTGTGTCTCGCTCTCTCTCTCTCTCTGGCTCTGTCTCTCTCTCTCTCTCTCTCTCTCTCTATATATATATACACATATACACACATATTTACATATAAATTTCAAGACCTGGAGCTGTAGCTGCGCGGTGCACCCGAGGCCGACCCTCTAGTGGACGACGCCAACGACAACGACGACTGCCATGGCCCCACCAAACGCCCTACTGCCCTCCACAGAGATTCGAGTCTTCGAACAAAAATTGGAGCGGCGAGTTCTGGACAGGTTTTGGCCCATGGGGGCCCTCAGCGAGTCCCAAGACTGTCAAAAAAGCCACTCGGGATGAAACACTGGCCCTATAGGGAAGTTGTCCAGACCTTCGAGGCCATGCATCGCAACAAAAATGAAGCGCCGGCTGTCTGGACCTCCTTTGCTCTCTAACCCACGCTGCCCCCAGTGCTGCAAAGGCTCCCCCTGCGGGGCGGACATCGGTTCAATTCACACCCGAACGTTCACCTCCTCGGTGGGCGGGTATCGAGGTGCTGGCTCTACAGCGGAGGCCAGTCCACAAGAAACCTTCCACAAGAAACCCAACCCTGAGACCCCAGGACGTCCATTGATTTCTGGCGCAGGAACGCCACGCCTTCCATCGCAAAACCATCGAAAGCCAAGAAACCCAGGGCACCCTGGAGGCAAGCAGGGTGTTTCTTGGCATGGGTCCCCACTGTAGACCCTCCCAGGAGATCACTGGGTGGAACTCGTGCACCTCGAGATCGCGCCTGGGACCCACCAGTCGGTGTGGCCCGAGCCCTTCTCGCACAGTTGTGCGGTCGGGAATGGAGCGCTTGCCTCGCGTGTCGCGGCGGCGGCCCCGGCGACACGCGATGCCTCGCGAGCGGATAGCATGTCGCTCCGCTCCGGGGGGCGGGAGAGTCCTTAAGCATTTTCGTGGCCGCCGCAAGGGGAACGGAACATCCCGGCGTGTTCTCCACTCGTGCGCGTTGCTTGGAGCGGCGTGCTGAGACAGGGCCTGGATGTAAAAGGCACCGTGCTGAGTGTAGGAAAAAAAGGGCAATATTGATGGTGATACGGTCACGCTCGCAGTGCGAAAGCGCCCTCCACCTTTTCCTCCTCCTCGTTTTCCTCTCTTTGCTCCTCCTATTCGCCCCTCCTCCACCTCCTCCTCCGAATTACTGTTGAACGTTGTGCCTCCTCCTCCTCCTTCTCCTCCTCCTCCTCCTCCTCCTCCGATTCGCCGGCTGCTTAGGCCGCTGTTGCGGGCGCACCCCTCTGAGGTACGGGCGCTCCTCCTCCTCCTCCTCCTCCACCTCCTCCTCCTCCTCCTCCTCCTCCTCCTCCTCCTCCCCATTGCCTTTCCTTATCAATAGTTAATTCCTCTCCGTCGCACCCCGAGGCTGGTCGAAAGGGTGGGCCTGGCGTGTCGCTTGGGACTTCCTCACCGCTTATGATGCTTAAGCTTTGAAGCTGGCAACAGCTTCACGAAATGAGGCCGGATGGTTTTCAATATGTGGCTCTCGCCTTAGCACCGCGCGTGTTCGTTTCATAAATGTGCAAGAGTTTTACGGTTTGGCGGCGGGTGGTTGTCAAACATTGGTTCTCGTTTTAGCGCCGCGCACAGTCGCTTCTAAAGTTAGCAAGAACTTCACGCATTGAGGGACGGTGGTGTTCAAAATCTGGTTTTCGCTTTTAGCGCCGCGCACATTCGTCGTACAAAGTTGCATGCGTTTCACGGTTCAAGGCGGTTTTGTTATCAACATGTGGTTTCGCGTTAGCGCCGCGCACAGTCGTTCTAAGAAGGTGCAAGAGTTTCATCGTGTAAGACATGTTGTTTTGAGCGACTCAGGACTATGAGGGCATAACAGTTAATTTGATTCGCGGCTTCGAAGTCCCAGGACTGGCGTGTTGGCATCATCTCAGGGTCGACAAGACGCAACAGTCATGTTGATTCGTGGCGTTAGAGTCCCGCGAATGGTGTTTTGGTACGCTTCAGGGTCTTCGAACGGTTGTCTCCCATGGAAGCAGCTCCCTCATTGGAAATGAACCCTCGCAGGGACCTGTGAAGGTGGAGCCTGGAGGGAAGGTTTAGTCCAACATCGTTGGCGAGTCCTGGGTTTCCACTGGTCCTCCCCCTCCTCCCCCTCCTCTTCCTCCTCCTCCTCCTCCTCCTCCTCCTCCTCCTCCTCCTCCTCCTCCTCTTCCGCCCACAGCCAAGCCAACAGGGGAGTGAGGCAATCCAGCGAAAGGGCATATCGCCAGCGAATCCAGGGAGGGAAGGAGAAGTGAGGAGGCGAAGAAAGAGGAGGAGGAGGAGGAGGAGGAGGAGGAGGAGGAGGAGGAGGAGGAGGAGGAGGAGGAAGGGGAGGAGGAAACGTGACCTGCAAGGAAACGTGACCTGCACGTGCATGTTGCGCAACGGTTTCCAGAGTAATCCTGGGCGAATTCCTGCGTAGCCCCGAAATCTTCCAACCAATTGTTGTGCAGGACCCCTGAAATACGTCTGAGAGGTATTTCGGCTTCTTGTGGATTCTTGAAGATTCCTGAGGGTGCGCCAGAATTTCCTGGGAGGGCTCATGGCGTTGTGAAGTTCCTTGAAGGAAGTTTGCGGGTTCTTGGAGGATTCGTGAGGGTCCCTCAGGATTCCTGAGGACTCCTGCTGTGGAATCCTGAAGATTCTTGGGGGATGCGGGATGGTTCCTGATGGGGTCCTGAGGAGTTCTGCCGCTTCCTCACGGATTCCTGAAGGTTCCTGAATGCTGCCTTAGGATTACTGGCGGATTCGCTTTGGAGTTCCCAAGATTTGCAAAGGATTGTTGGAGATTATTTGGGGATTCGTGAGGGCCCCGAAGGATTCCCGAGGGCTCCTGTTGCGGACTCTTTAAGGTTCTTGAGGGGTGCAGGATGATCCCTGATGGGTTCCTCGGGATCCCTGCCGATGCTTGGAGGTTTGCTGAAGGTTCGCTCAGGTTTCCTGAAGGATCCGTGAGACTGTCCGCGCGCGCCTGAAGGATTGGATCCCGCTGATTCTTGAGAACTCGGTGCTCCCCCGCAAGAATGTATTAAACATTTGAGGGCTTTACGATGGGCTCCCGGAGGGCTCCTGGAGGATTCTTGGGGGTTCCTGCGGTTGCGTGCCGGTTGTTGAAGGATCCATGAATGTCCCTGAAGGGTTATTGAGGTGCCACTGGGTTCTTGAGGGATCCGTCGGATTTCTGTGGTTGCACGTAGAGTCCTTAAAATCCCCACAGAGTCCTGACGATTCCTGTGGGTTTCCCGAAGGCTTCATGAACATTCCTGCAGGTAATCAGGTGTTCGGTGCCAACGATAACACTGGGGGATCGGTCAGTGGTGCCCAAGGATCTGTGTGTGCTTGCTTGTTTATGTGTATGCTTATGTTGTGTGTCTTTCTTTGTTTCGTTTTGATTATCTCTCTCTCTCTATCTCTTTAGCTCCACTCGCTCTCAGTCGATGTCCCTTTCTCCCACTTGTTTTTTCTTTTGTTATCTCTCTCTCTCTTTCTCACTCTCTCTCTCTCTCTCTCCGTATCTCTCCTCATTCGTCCTTTTTGATGCCTTCGCAGTTGCTGCTGCTGAGTTTTTCTAACGGCGTTCGGTCCAGGCCCCTCGGGGTGGTTTCTTCGGACCCACGGGCATTCGCAGTTGTGTTACAACGGTCGAGGAGAGTGTCCGTTCTCAGTCGCGATACCGAACTGGTGATTGCGCAAACGTGGGCTCTATCATCTTCGGGTCGCCTTTGACTGTTGAGGTACGCAGCCTTTCCTCTTCTCCC